TGAATCAACATTAATAAAAATTTAAAATTTCATTAACACGCTCCATTAAAATCAATAAAAAAGTTTATAATATTATGAACATATAAAAAATAGCAAGGGGCGGATTATATTGCGGGACGGATTATATGGCAGAACAGATTTGAATTAACATTAATAAAAATTTAAAATATCATTAACTCGCCGTTTCAATACGGAATAAACCCAAATTTTATTATTTTTTAACACCATGATTATTAGACATATCGAATTAGCCTGATTAAAATAAGAATGTATAAAACAAAAGTTATCTCGTGCTATACCGCTACGTTATAATAATTGTAAACTATAAAAATATAAATGTCTTATTAAATGATACTATTTGCAAATTTTTATATTTAATAATTAATACATAATCATTAAATTTAAAAAATCATTACTTTTAGTAAATAAATCGTCTCGCGGTGTACCGCGAGTTAAAATCTAATTTATAGACTAAGATATCTCAAAATTTAAAAAATGTATTGCTACTTATAGACCAAATTATATCCCAAAGTCAACGTACCTAAACTATATGCATCGGAATCTAAAGGAAAAATATACTCTCATCTTGTTTGTGTTAAATAAATTGCATTACAATAAGAGCCTCAATAATACGTAAAAGATAATGAAACTATTATAGTATGAATTTAGTTGCTTCTATCGTTAACGAAGACCGATTATTAATACATTACTTTTGAACTTAAGTGATCGATTTTCATTTTCATAATATATAGAAATATATAAAGATTTTTTGAAGAAATTCATCAAAATACAGTATGATCTAGCTACCAGATTCAACACCAACAAAATTGTAAAAATAAATTGGGAAAATTCCCAAAAAAAATCTCATGTATTTTTTATTTGGACGTTTAATACCCAATTGTTTTCGGTTAGAAGAAAAATACACATATTAATAAAACTGTGCGATTTAATACCCAAACAATTAAATGTTGTTATTTTCATATTCACGAACTCACAACAAAAAAAATATTCCAATTTTACCCTTATCATCTCAATTAATTATTAACTTTTAAATAACGTGATATTATTTTTTTATTTAAATAAAAATTAATTTTGTTAATGTTTTATTTAAATATATTAATTTTTTGGCGGGAAAAAATTTTACTGGAAAATTTTACAAGGTATTTTAAAGGTTTTACAAGTTTTACAAGTGTTTTGGCGGGAAAAATTGCGGGATCACTTTTCCCGCCAAAAAATATTTTGTATTTTGTGGACCTAATTTTGTTATATTTCCTTATATATTTGTGATATTTTTTATTAAAAGAAGGGTAATTTAGTCATTTTGTACATAAAAAGGGGTATTTTTAAAAATAGACAGCCAAAAGGGGCATTTTTGAAAAGAGATATTGAAAAAGGGGCATTTTTGTGAGTCTCCCTTTTTTTTGTTAACTCTTCCTAACATTGCGACATTTGACTCTATATTTAGGCGACACATGTCCTTTTTCATTTTCATTTTGTTTCTTTTAATATATTTTTTAAACCATAATCTTTACAATTTTATGTCAATCTTAATTCTAAAAAATCATATTTTTTTATCTGATTTGTACACTTGACATGTATTTTTAAATCTAATTTTTTATATAATTTGTTCTACTAAAAATAATATTTAATTACTATCACATACTTGATACGTCTACTTTACACATTTTTCCTACATTTTATTTGATTTATTTTTTATCACTTGAAGTAAAAAAAAAAAAAGATAGTCACTTGGCATATACTTTTTTTTATCAACCACACATTAATTAAAAAACAACTCCATGATTGGTTGCCCATGTTTGTTTTAACTCCATAACTCCTTGACATGCATTTTTTAAATCTAAATTTTTATCTAATTTGTTTTGCCAAATATATATATATATATATATATATTTATATATCTATTTATTAATACATATATGATACATCTACTTCACACATTTTTTTCCTACAATTTATTTGATTTATTTTTTATCATTTAAAGTAAAAAAAAAGATCATACTATTTTATAATCTATATATATAATAGGAGAGTTTTCTCTCCTCTTAGGGTGTCCACATCAGTGACACATCAGCATACACGTCATCATAAATTTTTAATATGTACAAAATGCCACTAAAAAGATTCGAACCCATTAGCTTATGCATTTAGTGAATGCATCTCAGACCAAATTACCACTTAAATCATTTTGGTTTATAACAAAATATAAACTATATATATTACCTTATACAAGTTCCACATAATTTATTTTTTTAAACAAGAAACATTAAAAAAAAATTAATTCATATATAACTTTTATATCATCGTCTTTTAATAAAAGAAAATATTTTTTCATAAACAATAACAGGATTTAATATAAATAAAAAGTAATATAATACAACACACAAAACTATGTGATAAAAATAAGATAAATATACAAGTACACATTTCAATTTTACACAAAATAAGAAATGATTTACTTTTAAAGAAAAATAAATTTTTAAATTTTTTTAAAAATAGTGTTAAATTCTGTTACCGATAAAAATATTTAAAAATATGAAAAGATACTGGTTAAATATAAAGTAAGATAATTTCATTTTACTTAGAATAAGTAGTAATTTATTTTTAAAATAGAATATTTATTTATAATTTCTAAATATATTTGTTAGTAGTAAAGTACAAAATTTATGTTACCAATTAAAAATTTAGAAAAATTCATTGTATATTAGTAAAATTCAGAAGCGTTGGAGATTAGAAGAAAAAATGTATTCATTGGAAGTTTGATGTTCTTTTTGGTGTTAATCTTCACTTTTGATGTTCTTTTCTACATGATTCATCTCCAAACTCGAGTACTTCAAGATTAACAAGATTACCATACTAGAAACAGCTGCAACAAAATAAAATTCAAAATAAGCAAAAATCTAAAATGAAGAGTTGTTAAAATAAAAATATGCATATAGATATCAGAAATGGATGATAATATCCATAGATTTCCAACAACATTTGGTATATTAAAAATGTGAAAGAAGAAATAGTCAATGTGGTTGAAAAAAAAAATTAGGTGCTATGAAAACACACAATGAAAATAATTAAAAAGATAAAGTATCTGATATATATATAAGAGAATAAATCACAATAAATTTAATTTTATATTTAATTACAACAATCGAGATAACATAGAAATTTTAAAAAAAAATCAAATCAATGATATTAGTCACGATGAAAGTAAAAAACAACAATAATATCTAATAATATGAATTTAAGCACAATTACAATTTAGAAACAATTAGAAAAATACACGTATCATCAACCGGTCTCATCATCAACCACATAAATAAAAACATTAAAAAAAATCTTAAATTGATAATTATTTTTTACACAAACTCATATACTATTTTCTAATATATAAACCCGCAAAAAGATCATACTATTTTATAATAAAATAAATTATCATAATGAAAACCATTTCTTGGATGGGAAATGGAATGGTTTAAATATATGATTATGCCTTTATGTAATTTTTATAAACATTAATTACTACCATTTTAAATGCAAGGAACGAATATTGACTAAATGTTACGTTTTTTAGTCCTCTCATCAAAGCACAATTAATATAAGAAATTTATATTAAAAATTACGTATTAAGGCCAACTAAAAATCATGTAACGTTTTCTTTCACTAATTGAGTAAGCAATTGAATAAGTCAGTTTCTCTAAAATTTTAGTAAAATCCTATTAACTAAATAATTAATAACGTATGAAGTACTAAATAATATAATGCCCCACTAAACTCTTATTTACCTAAACTCATTTGTTATAAATAGTAGCTTTTCCTTTCATTACAAGGCCAAACCAAAAGGCGAACATGAATTCAATCTGTTTAGAGCTTTTCAAAATTATTTTCATGTAAACATGCTATGTCATATTAATTTGGATTCATATCTTTAGATTTTATAGTAGTATAAAGCTTTATGTTTGTTCTTAAAGGTTTTAATTTTAATTTTATTTTTGATTTAGTTCTACGTAAACCATTCTCTATGTATTTATAAAAGGATCTTATCCACCTCCTATGTCAGCTTATTTTCCATAGTAGAGTTTTAAATTTTATTTTTCTCGATATCCCGTTCCTTTATTTTGATTGAAACTTAGTATTTTTCTCTTGATTTCATACTATCGCCCACATTAAACAACCATCTAAGATAGTTTTTGTCTGATCATCTAAGATTTATAGCTTTTGTTTTTTATGAAACACCATTAGTCTATGTATGTGATCTTCCTCTGTTTATATGGTATTTCCTTTCTCTATTAGCTTATAAACTAAGTTGTTGCACGAACTGGATCTCTCAGATCACTAATTACGGCACCAACGAGGAGTGCGCTGTCTTTTATCGACAGCGCACTTACCATATCTTGTGACATGTTTGAACCAACGAATGATGATCTTAACGAAAACATCAACAATGAGTGACAGTCATCGAACTCCTCATTGGTGCTGTAATTAGTGATCGAGAGATCCAGTTCATGCAACAACTTAGTTTCACATATACAGTTTGGTTGGAGTTGTGTGAGAGTCGTCTCCATCAACGCATCACTCCGGATTGGACTGATACTTTGAGAACTATATATGCTTCTCCATCAACGCCATTGATAGTATTCTTCTCAAGCTTTGCTTCCAGACAGCCATCTACTATCTATGGCGTGAGAGAAACAGTAGATCACAACCGCCCGTCCCTTTCCTCGCGCCAGCTGGTCTGCATCATCGACGAAACAGTCCATGATCACATTATTGCTATGCAACACTTGAATTCTACAAACCTCGGAGATTTGTTACAACGGTGGCTAATGACCCGCCTATCACCCTAAGAAGCGTGATGTCTTCCTCTGTTTATATGGTATGTGAACTTTGTATCCAAATGTCTTATTTCTTTTGCTCTCTAGTATTAAAAGATGCAAGAGATAAGAATATCAAATGTCTTCTAATTAAGAAACTTAAAAAAAAAAAAATGGTCCAAAGGAAATCATATTTTAATATCAAATTCTAATCGCCAACAGTTACAAACCAAATTTACAAACAATAGAGATATAAAAAACATACACACAAGTAAAAGCAAAAGACAACACAAAAACAAAACAAAAACAGAAGCTTCCCAAAATTCCGAAATTCAAAATCATCTTGCTTTCTCATCATATAATCGAATTACGTTGGCATGATTTCTAAACAGTTATTATGCGGAGTTTTATGGAGTCATCAAAACTTCATCAGTTGTATTCTTTCGAATTCTGCGAACTCAAAATCGACTGCAAGTAAACATGTTTCGAACAAATGGTTAGAGATTGCGAGATTGCCTTGTAACATGACATGACAAAAATTGTGTCACTATAAATAACTAGTGAGAAACAAAGCAGTTTAAACTATACCACAGTGTTAGATTTGACTAACGTTTGGTCTAATTCGGTGAAGTCAATACTAATCCAAAGTTTCATCAATCAATGTGAATAGTAAGAACAAAATTAAATATTAAATCATTCAAAACATATAGTAATAGAGCAATTTTTTATGCATTCATTTATTTTTGGTGCAAAAGTATCATCCACACATACCTTGACTTTAGGATAAGGGAAGCTAGTTTTAGCACCACCTCTACTTCCGAAACTGAACTTTGATTTCTTGTCATTAGGTTTTAAGATCTGAAAAGAGCAGGTCAAATCATCGTCCACACTCATCATCGCACCTGCATTGTCGAATTCTCCACAGTAATTCGGTGCAGAGAATATCGTCACGAGCTGCTTATTCGCAAAGAACTCGAATCCGTCTTCAACAACCTGTTACGACATCATTGCTTGCGTCAAAAGGAAACATACACAAAAAGGGTTTCGTTGGGCACAAGGAACAATAAACAAACCTGGTGAGCCCTACAAATTAGGTCAAGATCAAGTCTTTTCAGAAAGCTAGAAACTGTATCCGATCCGAAAGTGTAAGAAACTCCGCGATCGTTAGGCCCCCAACCTCTAACATCTTTATCAGGATCAGACCACAAGAGATCACAGAGTAAACCGCGATCAGGAATATCTGTTGGACGACGAATATCCCTAATCTGTCTCAAGCTAAGAAGCTCCGGTGAGAGCCCACCATGCATACAAAAAATCCGATCATCGATGAGTGCAGCCACGGGGAGACAATTGAAGCAATCGGTGAAGATTCGCCAAATCTTGACACTGAATCTGCGTTTACACTCGTCATAGAAGCCGTAAATGCGATTTATTGAGGCACTTTCATGGTTTCCTCTAAGAAGGAAGAAGTTTTCAGGGAATTTGATCTTGTAAGCGAGTAAAAGACAAATCGTTTCGATGCTCTGCTTGCCGCGATCAACGTAATCTCCAAGGAACAAGTAGTTTGAACGAGGAGGGTAACCGCCATATTCGAATAGTCTCAAGAGATCCGGATATTGTCCATGAATGTCCCCTGTTTTTTTTGTTTAACCAAAAGATTACATAAGAACACAATATCAGAGAAGAGTCAGAGAGAAACAGAGAGAAGCCTACCACAGATTTTGACTGGAGCTTCGAGTTCCAAGAGATTTGGCTGTCTTAAGAAGATACCTCTGGAGGCGAAACAGAGCTGTTTAATCTCTGTTTCAGACAATTGAACAATCTTTCCTGGTTTCTCTCTAGCTTCAAGCAACCTATTGATCACCGAGTTTAAAGTACTAGCATCCATTAATAAAACCTCAAGAAACAGAGCAACAATGAGACGAAACAACAACGAGAAGAGACCTAGAAGATTTATACTAAACAGAAGCTATTGACAATATGAAATAAATTAAAAAAGTTTGGTTCTTTTATGTTCTTTTATGCTTGCTCTTTGAGAAAAAGAATGGTAATTGTCAATTTGAAGAAGGGCTTTATAAAGCCGCGTTGAAGAATATATTCTTCATAACTTTTTAGCAAAAGCCCATGTGTTCAGACCTACCTACATTGTTCTAACTTCAACTAAATCATGTAATAATCAGATTCTTGCTAATTCAGAAATACATTCTTTATGTGTTTGTTAAGCTTCACAGGATTGAATCCAGCCCGGTACGTCAAGATTCAAATTCAATATCTTTGCGCCGGTAATTAGAGTGCGAAAAACGCTCTTTCTTCTTCTTAGAATCAATGTTTTTGGATTCGTTCGCGTCATATCAAGCAACTTGGCTATCTACAAAAACATATTCTTCTTCCTTTTCAGCAAAATCCCAACTATTCTACTTCCACCAGAATAACCAAAAATATTAGCTAGTTATTTTTTGTCTTTTTATGGGTAAAAAAATGTTAGCTAGTTTAGACATTTCTTTGTGTTGAGCATTTTAGGCTTGAATCTAATCATGTACATCGAGATTCGAATTCAAGATATTTCTGCGTGTAAGAGCACGAAACAACGTTCTTTCTCCATCACAGTATCAATGTTTTTGGATGTAGAGTAATTCTCAAAACATTGTTCGTTGATGTGTTCGCATCATGTCAAGCAACTTGGCTATGACAAGAACATATTCGTTATGAAACCACCGGATGTGAGAGGACACCACAGGAATAACAAGGAAAGAGAGAGATTAGAGAATATTAGTTTGGCTTTTGCCCTTTTCTTCTGTAAAGGAAAGATTCCAAAGTTAGGAGGAAACGAAGAGTGATGCCTCCTCTTATGACTTCTAGATCATTTTCATTTTCTTAGCTATATCTAATTAGACTTAGTATAAAAAAAATCATAAACAAGATTCATTCATGTCCTCACATCAAAATGAAAAAAAACTGCTTAAGGTATAAGCTTGTGTATGTGTATCTCAGTCATAAACAGCAAGCTTCTTATACTCATCACCTTTAATGGCTAACCACATGACATCTTCAGGATTCACAATCCCACCTTCCTCAAGAAACAGAGTCAGTAGATTCTTCGAAAACCCGCTAACCATAGCTACTCCTTTCTGCTTAGACGCCACGGGTGTAGCTGACGAGTCTCTTAAGTTCCAAAATACAATTTCAGGAACATTCTGAAAACCCTTCTCTTTATACTTTCTCTGAACAACTTCATAGTCCGTCTCCCATTTCTCAAAACTCTCGGAGACACTCTCATAGTCACTCTCGGAGTTACTCTCGTAGTCACTCACTTCCGAATTGCTGTCTTTTACTCTTGCATCATCAAACTCCATGTCGCTGAACACAAACAACCGCTTGATCATCTGGTCATTGGTTAAGTTATTTTCAACTGCAACCTCTAGAATCCGATCAAACACCTTCTGAAAATCAGTGTTCATTCCCCAATCCATTGCTCTGACAAACCCAGTCTTTTCTCTCAGACTCGAACCCGTGACAACATGAAGCTGCGGGTTTTCGCTAAAGGTGATAACTTTCCCTTTCCACGGCTCTTCGTTAAGTTCTGAAACCAATAACCCGAGTGCTACACAAACATTCATAGGTGTACCAGCCATGCTTCCCGAGACATCACAAATCGCCAATGAATTCGTCAATTTCCCTTTCTTGGCAAGATCATCCACCATTCTTGCCCATTGAAGCTCTGCTACTTCTGCACCAACTTCATTTTCACTATCATTCTCAAGCTCGCTGATTATCTGATGAGGAAGCAATGCACCAGCCGCGATTTTCTTCTTCCCAGATCTCACATCCCCCAAAAACTCGGTGAACCTCTCGTTATCGTGTTCCACAAAGCGTGTCCTGTAATTCTGCATAGCCACAGAAGGAACTCTATTGTACTTCAACAAATTCCATTCCTTGGCACTCATAGACACCTCTGGTAATTCAAGCGCTTTATGTAACGGCACGAGAACTTCTTTCCTCAACCTATCTCTAATCCTATACGCATAATGCGCTTCTTCGATACCTTCATACTCATCTCTAGGAAACATCCTTCTAGCAATCGCCTCACATATCAAAGTAGTCTTATCATACGAAGAATCGACAGAAGGACACCATTTCGAAGCTAAACCAATCTTATTCAACTCATTCGAATTCAAACACTTCAAATCCGATTTCAACAAATCGGCAAACAAATCCGCAATTCTATCAAACAGTAATCTGTAATTAGCATCAGAGTTATACCTCTCTAGCGCCTTTTTCGCCTTTTCGAACTCTCTCTGTTTCCGCAAAGCCCTAGCTTTGATTTTATCAACAGGGCCACCAATCTCCTCCGCTGTTTCGAGAATTCGATCTTCCATTTCACCAGATATAGCAGTCCTTTTCTCACTATCCCCTTTGAATTTCCTCTGAATCCTCTTCCTCCAAACACGCTTCTTCCCTCTCTCCATCTGCTGACCTTCCAAGATCCGAAAGAGAATCTCAGGCAAATCTTTGAAATACCCAAAATCGACGAGAGCAGGGATATTCAAAGCTAGGGTTTTTGGGTGATTCTTGTAAAGCCACAAGGCAGCTGTGTAAAACCCTTCCTTGTCTGATTTCCCAGTTCCTCTAACTCCTCTGAGATTGCAGATGAGCTTTAACGTAGTCAAAGGATCGTGAGACCAAGAAATCGCCAGCCTTTGGATCAGATCCTCGGAAGGTGTGTCCGGGACGATGTGGAAGAAGAAATCGAGACATGGGTTCCCGGAGGATAGAAACGTGGGCGAGAAGTTTTCCGTCAGACCCATCCGTGGTTCTTCGAGGTTTAGTGTGGCAGTTTGGGAGATCAAACTGTTGCCATCGGAAACAGGGGTTTCTGGTGTCTCGAAGGCGGCGACGGAAGGTGGTCCCAGAAGGATCGTAGTGGAAGAAGCCATTGAAGAGATAGAGATTTGGTGATGGTCTAAAGGGTTTTTGTCAAAGTAGCGGATTGCTTTGCCCATCAATTAGTAGAGTATATTTATAGGTAAAAGAGAAACCCTAAGACATCAACTTTATAGAAAGAAAAATATAATAAATCAAAAAGATTAAGATTTGTTTAGCTTGGAGACCAAGTAACCTAAATCCTTCAAATTTCCGATATACACATTTATAGGAGGCATTTATATAATGAATCTCTTATACATTAATTGAGAAGCACTCTTAATAAAAAACATCTTACCTTCACTAGTTTACAAGAGTGTCATGACGTGTTCAGAAAGTTTCTCATAAATTTAATTAATTTCCAAACCTTTATTTCACTAATTACAAATACTGCACATTTTTTTTTTTTGACGTCTAGATTTATTATTTATTGCAAATTATGAGAACTGTTACATAGACGATTCTACAACGGACAATTCCTTCCGACCCTTATTAGATCCACGACAGACGACACTTCTTTCTCCATGCTCTTGACGGACACCTTCAATGATCCACGACCTAACGACACTTCTCTCTCTGCGTAGAATCCTGGCGAACGGCTATAATTGTACTTCGCTGGAGATCTCTTGCACACTTGCCTCATTTAATCTGCAAATTTATTAATAAATCGCAATATCTGGGACTCGAACCCCAGACCTCTTGGTGTAGAAGCATTAATTAACCCTTGGTCAACCAATGGGCCAAGGGGGCTTCCACACAAATACTGCACATTAGTGTTACTTTTACATATTTCTTTTCAATATTTAAGATATCAACAATTCATAAATGCAATTGATTACCAAGAGTATATATATTTACGAAATAATTTATATAACATCTTATTATATAAAACTTGATTTTTAAAGTTAGTAATTTATAAGATCGTGACACGTGTCAATTTTTTTGATAAGATTTTGACTTGTCTATAAAAAATTATTTCAATTAAAAAATAATTATACAATAAATCACAAATCCAAAAAAAAAAGAATTACATTTACTTTCTTTAAGAAAAGTATATTAAATTGTAAAATAAAAATAAATAATATAGTAAATAATTAATCCTGAAAATTTATAGTATTAAAAAGAAAAGTATACATAAAAATAAATTTAAAACATATAATCTTGTTATATGACTGTTGATGTTCAAAAGTAAGTAACAAATTAACATGATTGCTATATGTGTCAATCGATTCATTGATATATGTAATAAACTTCTCACATACAGATTTTGACACATACTAACACAAAATTGAAACTTACAAATCTTTAACATAAAAAAACATACATATTAAAGTATAAAAGTCAATTAAAATTTAGTTAAAAAGTTAAATTTTATAAAAAGGGAAAACTTATGAAAAAGGGAAAATGTAAAATATAATTACAATTACTATTTTTTGAAAAAATATATTAAAAGCAAAGAAAAATATTTAATGTAAAAAATGTTATTATTATATAATGTTCGATATATCAAAGTTCGTAAATAACATGATCAAGACATGAGTTGAATTATCAAATATTTATATATCATCGTGTTTATAATTTTCTATTTTATTTTAGATTAAATTTTTAGTTTCTAGATTATTTATTTTGATTTTTACTTTCATATTTAATTATAGAGATAATTGGGTGAGAGACATTATTGGGGGAGCTATTTAGTTTTTTGGTAAACTGACACATGGTCCAGAACAACACTAATTTTAGCTCCTATTTTGTCCAATTTTAACCCCACTCGCTTATGTACTGTCGACCAAAGTTCGGCCCATTGTGTGAGACAAAGACAATGAATTTTGGCATTCTCGAGAAACTGAAGCGTGTTATAGCTTGAGACAAATGAATTGATGTTTGTTGTGGATGTCCAAAGCATTTTGTAAATCTAGTATATATCTTGCATGTTGTTTCCTCTGTCGATTAGATTAAATATCTAAAAAATATTTGTGGTTACATGTATACAAATGTTAATAACGGTCTATATACATGTTTTCATGTATACAAATGCTAATTAATAACGCTCCATGTACGTATTTACATGTATACAAATGTTAATAACGCTCCATGTACGTTTTTACATATATATAAATGCTAATAACGCTA